CTGAAAGGAGATGAACAATAGTTAGGTTAGTATATGAACAGGACATGAAATAAGAATCAGATCAGATCTGTGGACACAGACGACGGATATGTCCATCGGATCTGGATCGGATCTGAGATCCGGATCTTCGGATCTGTACCCAGATATATGGTATATGACAAGATGCATCAGAACTGACAAGCCCAATTGGCAGGTTGAGTATCATCAAGTCCCCAAATGCCTCTGCAAAGTCATGTTTAAAAAAAAACACATAGGATCATGTGATTATTCCTGCATGACTCATCCCAAACTTTGTTCAAATTCCCTAGCTGCAGGTTCAATTATTCATCAGCATTGCTTCGAACTCTCTATATCTCTTACACAATCTTTTGCTAATATCAATGATTTCTCAATCAATGTCATGCATACATAGAGTCTACTTGAAGAAGTGCAAAAAAGATCCAGAAAAACGATACCGAGGTGCTCGAACACACGCTGTTCAAGCTGTGATAAAATCAGTAGTTTTCTGCAACAATCTGATGCAATAGTGGACCTCATTTATGAGTGTGTATTCTCTCTGCCATTATTTTCAGCAACTGATAGCAGACCATGGTTCAGTAGACATTCACTGTGAAGAGTGCTGAGTTCTGAGAAGTCATAGTGTTCATCCTTGGACTTGAGCTTGCATTTTACCCCCGGGTAGTCTTCATGTTATTCTCAATCCTTGTCTCCATTAAGCATCTCTTTGACTTGTAGACTCATCATCTGCTTACGCGAGCTTTGCTTCCTTGGACGTTTTGCTCATTTTCTGACACATTTTATCCTGCTGTCATGCCCTTCCATTGTTGCTTCTTCGTTACTCTCACTTGTTCCACTGGAAACTCTGCAAATCAAGCCCCTCTTTGCCTGAAAGTGTAGATATACCATGGAGAAGACCGGCTTTGAATTAGTGAATTTTCATTTACTCTAAGTTCACAAAACATGTCTGTCTAGAAACATGTTTAAAAGTTGTTGGTGCCTATCTGATCTGCATTCGCTGAATTTGGCTAAAATCATCAAATTTACTCCCATGTCTGCAATCAAACTATCATCTGCCCCATTGTTTTCTCGCAGTTGGTCAGCTTCCTGTGTCTCATGCTCAAATCTTTCAGAGCAACATCGAGTCCATGTTCAGGGTGGGTATGTTGTTGGACAGGGCGGCCCTTGCACACGTGCACTTTTGAGCCATTGTAATTGCCAACTTGCACAACAACACTATCTGCATCACCCAATTCAAGATATCAAGAACTAACAAGTCATTGTTGCATTATAAAACACGTGACACATGCAAGTATATATATGTACATATAAAGCCATTTGAGACACGCACATGCACTCATTTGCATCCAGTCTTCCAAGTTGTGGATGAGCCACCAATATTATTAGCTTTGGCGGCACGCTTCGATTGGAACTGTTGATGTTTGTCCTGACCATTCTGATGATCCACCACTGTCTCATCAATTGGGGTGGGGGGGCTAGGACCAGTGTTGCAAGCATTAACCTTCTGACATTTTGCAGGGACATTCAACCGTTCTTCTTCAGATTCACATGTGCGCTTCTTGCCTGTGTCAGAAGGGAGTCCTATGGGGCAGCATCAGACAGAAATGTTGAAGTCTGGGTAGAGTGGTGCGCCGGCAGGTGCAGCAGGTAGTGTTGTAGCTGACTCAGATGGGATATGGGTTGTCAATGGCTGCACCCGGGAGGGTGATGGTGTAGAGACAGGGAAAATGAAGGTGGGATCTGTGGTATGATAGGGCTGTGGCTGCACTCCAGCATTTGGGGCAGTAGGAGATTCATCACCTGTCAGAATCAATGTGTTTTGCATTTGATGACGAATTCATGGTGGTGATGTGATAATTGGTAATGAAAACTGTTGGGCATGGGCAAAATCCTCTAGAGATGGATCAGGGTCCAGCAGAAACTGAGTGAGACCATGCATTGTCTTGTGAGGAAGTTGTGAAGGCATGAGAAGAATGGGAAGATATGGCTGTGATGTGTTGTCATCCGTGTCCATCGGTGGTCGGGATCCATCAGGCCCAGAGAATAATTGAAAGGTGTTGATGCCTTCCATGAGAGAAAGAATCTCCCAGGCGGAAAGCGACACATCAGAAGTTGCGGTTGTAGTATCTAAAGGGGTACTAGTAGGTAGTAATGTATCAGAGGCTACATGGGCAGGCTGAGAGGAAGGTCCAGGACTCGGAGTGACGGCCAGAGTGGATGATATATCAGATGCAGGCAGCAAGCTTTTTGCTCTTGACAGAGCAGCTGCCTCAGCTGTTGAAGGGGCATCAGTACTAAGTATCTTGTACTGAGTAATGTTACGAACTAGGATGGTTCAGACGTATGGCTACTCGATAAGAGTAATTGGCCAAGGTCGGTTCAAGACTTCGGCGTATACCAAAGTTCGATGTTCTTTAAGACAAGACAAGGAGAGTGTCCTCGACTTGAATCAAGTTCAATACGACTTAAGATTGGAGGTCTTAAGCGAAGGAAGTTCCAGGTAAAACCTAGTAAGATTAAAGTAAAGAACTACATAGTACAAAGCGAGTTTATATAGTGAAAGGAACTGCTTTAGGGCCGGTACGACAAAGTCAGAATGAGTCAGAGATAAGAGCAAGTCAGAGATAACAAGAATAGGTCACCTAGCGACAGCATGATGCGATCGTGGTGTAATACAACTGATAATAAGAGAAGTCTAGCGATGGCTTGATAGTGGCCATGACGTAATACAAGGTAAGAAGGGAAAATGAATAGGGGCGTACTTGGTTGTAACAAGTAAGGTGAGAAACTTACAAAAAACACATTCTACAAACTGCATGTAAGTCACCATAATATTCTGTGAGAATTGGGGATAGGCTTGGCTGAATCGATTTCCCAGTTTCATTGTACCAATATGGAAACTACTGATATCAAGTGTTCCACCCGCGGCAGGATGTGGCCCACACATGAGCACTGTGAATACCCAATCTGTCATCTCGTGCAACTCCTCGAAGAACTGGGACATAATTGCAGTGATTTTGGATATGTAGTTGTGTATATGTAATAAAATGCTGTTCATATATGAAGATGGTAAATATCCACATATCCTTATTGTGAGCTTGTTTCTTTGCTTTCTCTATTTCCGTATGTTTCTTCTCCTTCATTACCTCAATAGCTGCAAGGACCTCCCCCTTGACCTCCTCGGACTCATTGTTGAAAGCATCTTTGAGATGTCACCTAATGACACACAGGGTCGTCTTCTTGGCCAGCTCAGCAGAAGGCATATTTTTTTAGTTCTTCCTGCTCAATCTTTACAGCATCCTTGACTTTGTATAGTGCATTTTTGAGTACATCTCCCATGGTTTCAAGGTGCGAGTAGGTTTGTCCATTTTCTTCAGCATGTTCTTCATCATCATGTTGACTGTGGCAGTGTGCTTTCCATTTGCCCACCGGCCTGCTTTCAACGCACCCAAATTGTTATGAAATTTCTCCATCAGGCGCTGTTAATATGGTGAGTAACACATTAATATTCAGACAGATATAATGTACCTGTTGACGCAATGCCCAGGCTTTTGACAGTACTGCAGATTGTTCCTCGGTCAAGTCAACATCAAGTGGGATGTCTGGGAACACTACAGTGCACTCGGGAAACCTTTCACCCCATGCCTCAAAGAAGGGATTCCACAGAGGTTCGTAATTTTTTTTTGCCTTACATTTGAGGAATTGTTCATGGAATGTCTTCATAAATTCGATCTGCTCAGCAGAATATTTTGTGGGTGGTGCCATTGGTGAGGTTAGATGTCTGGTGCGGATAACAACTATTGAATAGTGTAGTAATGAAAGGAAGTTTTCAATTCGAGTGTATGATTGCAAACCATTGGCATGTGTGACTGCTAGAGAGGAACTGATTCAGTCCAATGGCAGTAGGGCTCACACATTTGCACCTTTATCATACATGCTGATATGAGACAGGTGTTGATTCAATACTTGACCGGCTTCATGTAGCATTATGATAGGTTTGGCCCATTAAAATATAATATTTAGTGAATGAGTTTTCATCTGACCAAGATTCAGTACTCCATTTTGCCACACTCAAGGAGGATCCTTGGTTCTTTTTCTTTAATACTACTACTACCATTCACCAGACCTCTGTCTACTAGTCAAGATGGTCCGTCCAGTCATTCATCACACAGCCAAAGCGAAGCTACAAGCTGCACGTGAAAGGCACCGCCGTCATTATGCAAAGTATGTCATACATTCATTAATTATGTCCATTCGTTCCTGACCAATCACACCAAAGAAATAGAGATGAGATTTTAAAGAGACGAAGAGAGCTTTGTAGCTCTAAAACCAAGGAATCAAAGGCAGCTAATAAATTCACTAAGGAGCTCTCAAAGGCTGTTGCAAAAGCTTTGTATCGTGAAGATGAAGATGAGTCTGAGTCTGAGTTTGAGTCTGACTCTGATGACTTGGAGTCAGATAATGACGATAAGCCGTATGTTCAGATGTTCATTTTAATAAATAGAACTCAAAATTAAACTCAATTTCAACAGATGTGATCTTCCAGAGTGTTTATGCATTCTCAAAGACATCAAGGACAAAATATTGGAAATGATCAGTGATGACCCTTGCAAATTCATCAAGGGAGTCTTATGCAAATATGTAAAGAGTTTCCCAGAGGACTCCTCCCCAGGCGATATCTCCATCATCAAAACCTCAATCATCAAGGTCCAAAACATACTCAACCGGACCATTGCAGTGCACGATCAAATCCTGAATTTTTGTGGAGTCTCACCTGAGTGGCATGCCGCTGACTCAGTCACCTGTTTCTTAAGATGGCGCTTGCATATCTAGAGGACATCCAGTGTCTGTTGTTTTCTGAAGGAGTTTGTGAGCTTACAGTTGCTCACTTGATGGGGGAGATGATGTATCAGAAAGGCATTAGAATTTGATGTAGTCAATACGAGTTTTCTTGCACTGTGTCCAATATCCTCATTAGGGTTAGGGTCCGGGATGATGCGATAAACAAAGTCATGTGCTGTATGTTGTGGTGAACAAGTTTTGGCTAGGCTGTAGGTAAAAGCACCAAACCACAATATATGAGTCTCCTGCTCTGCCTAGCTGCTACTCCTGCTAGCAAGAATGTTCGACCCTAAGGATCTCTGACTAGGCTCAGGCTCAAGGAAAGAGAGTGAGGAAGATACCCCAAATCAAGGTAAGAAACTATGTTCCAGGAGCTATCTGGTGAGCTGAGAAGCTACAACTAGGAAAGCTATAATCAGGGGATGCTACTAAATAACCCAAGTGAATGGGGAGCAACCAAAGAACTGGAATAAAGGAAACTAGGTAATGACTGTAGAGTCCTAGGTAAAGAGTGAAGTGATTATGTAAGCAGCAAAAGTGCGAACCTAATCTAAGGAAAGTGTCAATAGGACCTGCACAGTGAAAAGTGCCTCTGCAAGGCTACAGAAAGTTTGAACACCACAATGTGTTGAACCGAAATTCACCCACATTGTTCTAGTATCCTGCCATGGCACGGGCTGCAAAGAAACCCAAGCTGCAATTCGAGTGTTTCATTCAACCATTTTCTATGCCAGTACTTAGGTGTGGTGGCTGAGGTCATGACCCTGGTGGTGTTGCTGAAACCAAAGCCGGAGAACTCACGTGCTGTGTCCAGCATGCCCACATCCAGGCAAAAATTTACCCTGTGGTTGGGAGAATTCACCTCCAGCAACAAGGCAAGTGTAAGGATCCATGATCCTTTGCGCACAGACTCTACTTTACAGCAAGCGGCAACGCCCATCCACGTGACTCACGGATACAGAAGGCGTTACCTTCTGTATCCGAGTTACACGGATACATTTCTTTCTCCTTACGCTCATTATCTCACTGTCGTTGACATCCAGCATGGCCTTAGTCTCATCATTACAACATACCCTTCATTGACAACAACCTTCAACTCTCCTTCTCTTGTTATTCTCATTTGTTTTCAATTCGCCGTCTCCAAAACTGTCACTACTACACAACTTTCGTCATTTATAACATTCAGACCGCCACTCATTCATAATCCTTTCGTACTCTCCATTCGTGCCTTCTACACTACCCTGCCAGGCTCAGCGCCACTCCCTTCTGCCTCCATTTTCTCATAATCGTTTGGTCAAGATATACCTGAGGACCCTTGCCATTTCGCACTGGTATACAGCTCATGTACACTCATATCTAGCAGTGAATCATATACTCAGATCCCTGCTCCAAGAATGACCGAAAGCCTCTCAGAAACTCTGTGTCTCTAGTCATAGTCCTATTCTCTCTTTGTGTTAGCTACTAACACGTCTTCAATCTCGTTTTGTTCACTTTTCCCTTCGAACTCATAGTCAGCCTTACACAAGTTTTTCGTTAATTGTTTGATGATAATATTTTGCTTACCCTGGTTGACAGATGGTTGTATGCACTTTTCGTTGCTATAGATGCAAATTTCTGTCTCAAATGGAAGGCTGTCTCCTCTGACCAAGTGGATCCTGGTTTAAATGCAGGATGGGCCTATTTTGTGGAGGAGCACACATACAAGAGCTACCTATCTGAGCGAGTCAATGAATGACAAGAGGTGTGTATGTAGTCTGGACTGTTGGGAGTTGACATACTCATTGTTCCCTTACTAGCGCAGTAAATATGGCTGACACAAAATCCTCACGAGGCCTGGCAGCAACTGGCATAAGAACCATCAACTGCGCTCAACATGAGTTCAAATTGCCAAATGGGGTAGGTGATCTACAGAAGGGCAAAAGGTATATTTTTCACATTTGACCAGCTGATAGTGTTAAAAGGTATCTCAACATGGACTATCTTGTTTTTTCGGCACTCATTGGATTCACAGTCACAATGCTAAATATCTCCTATGATATCGCTTGCCAATGGTCAAAGAATCTATGGAGCAGAATGGAACACATGCTGGCCCAACTTCATATACCACACAAAAACATACTAGTTCGATACTTCATACCAAAGTTTCATATCACGGCCCACATCACAGCCTGTCAACTCACATTCTCATGGAACCTTACTAAGTGGGTAGGTCGGACTGATGGAGAGGCCCCAGAATGGGGTTAGGCAAATGCCAATCATGTTGCATCGAGCACAAAGGAGATGGGGCCAGGAACACGACGTGATACATTAGATGATCATTTCGGTAACTGGAATTGGAAAAAGACAACAGCATTTGGTGAGTTTCATCATTGAGTATTGCATTTCACTTACTGATACTTCAGACTCTCAAGCCATACATTGAAGCGCAAGATGGAAGATGCTGTAAAGTGGGAACAGGAGCACCGTGTTGCCTTGTATGACCTGGAAGGAACTGTTCAGCCTGTGCTGCTGAACAAGTGGGGAATCAAATTCAAGATGTGGGAGGAGGACAACATGCACCAAAATCCTTTTGAAAGCAAGCTTACTCATGTGTCACTGCCTATTCACTCTACAAACTTGTGCTGATCACCTTCTATCTATGTAGCCATCACGCAGGCCGCGGTGAGGTCACAGCTTGCACAAGTGGAAGCACAAGAGTTGCAGCAGGGATCAACCACTCACTCAACCATGATGTCTCATCCAGTGTCCTTATTAGTTGTGGGATTGAATTAGAAGATGTGCAGTATGTAACATCTCTCTTTCAATTTGTATTCATTGTTCAAATATTATGACAGACAATGGCTCAAGCGCGACATTTCAGACCTCTCACTTCATCCCACAGACAAGCAAAGAGAGGGCATTGTTCATAGAACCAATGTGCTACAAAGACACATTGATTCCTGGACCCGCTGTGGTGTTTAAACTCAGGCTAGCCTTGCAGAACCCCTTTTTGCTATAGTGGTCAAGCATACCAGAAGTCCACATCACATCCATCCATCACTTCCTTGCAAAGCCTCAACTCACCTGACCCTTCCATATTGCAGCAGACTATGTCTGGCTTGGTTGACATGGACCCATTGCCTTGGCCGCTCACAGATAGCCAGGGTTACCCATACCATCCCTTACCTGCCGTCTCGGTCATCATGCACTTCAGCCAACCATCCCGTCCTGTCAATACCAAATTCTTCCATGTCCTGCCCGTGTCTGCCCATCTCCATTGGTGCATTTTAAGCTTATTTTACCATTAGTGAATGAACAGCAGGTGTTATTACATGTATTCCCATGGCCACAGCACTCACAAGCCTTATTACATATTGACTTGAATACCCTGCGTTTTGCTACTACTCTCACCTGTGCGATCCCGGACATTCACGTAGTTAGATAAATTGGACTCAAGTCTCGTATGGTTTCTTACTTCCCTTTTCCGGACATACCTGCTACCATTGTAGGAGTCACCTTAGTTAGTCTTTGATTGTGCAATTGATCCCCTTGCTCCTTATCATCGGATGTGCCTTGACTGCTCTAAGTGCACACTATCTAAAGGTTTCTATACCTAGGCCTTTGTGAGATCTGGACCGCTACCGGTAGTCTTGCCTCGGCAACCTATACCTAGTCATGCCTCGTCATACCTAGTTATACCTAGACTCTCCTTACCTCAGCCTAGCCTTACCTGCCACTCCCATCGGCATCGGACTCCTCTACTTGTATCGGGTATCTTGCATCAGTGTTCCTCATCAGTGTCTCACATCGGGTGTACCATCAGTATCCCGCATCGCATTGGACATCCTCGGACTCGGACCTTTGGTCGGTCGGAACATCTCAGGTCTTAGATCTTAACTCCTTCCCTTCTCTTCCCTTGCACTATTAGAAGGAAGTGCTTCAATAGCAGTCCCCTTGGGCCGACGTACTGCACTCGCACCCATTAGGATTTAGTAGGTTTGTTGGTATAGCTAGCTGACTACTATTTCTTTCACCACACCACTCATCAGAACCCTATTTATACTGCTGCAAACAATGCAGGCAGCTGCAAGCCACACAGAAGCATCAAATGAACAGCATTATTTTGAGGTCACAGGAGCCGTCCATGATCAGATCTTCCAGCACTTAAAAGAACTCATGGTAGGCATTGTGTTTACAAAAGATGCATTGGCATTGTCTGCTGTCAACAAAAAGTGCATTGTAACATCAATGATTTGAAAAGCAGCACCTAAGTTTCCAGGACTTGATGGTACATTAAGTCTTTCAATGATTTATTAACTGACAGACCAATAGGAATACCATGCTGGAAAAATCAAAGCAAGGACATTACAACAATATGGCTGAGGGTGATTGTCATGCACACAGTCCTCACAACCTTGACTCGAGAAGGCGTCATCATGGCATACACACTTTCCCTCCACAGGGTAGCCAGATGCACCCCGAGGCCTTTTGTTCTGATCATGTCAGACGTCTCATTTGAGACAACATTTTTATGCATGTATATTCATTTAATGTGGTATTGTTTTTTTTGTTCACCTCAACTCATGTGCTTATAAGTTTTCAATTAGGATGGGACACTGACCATTCATGCAAAGTTCCAAAACCCCTTCATCCTCTACCTCATCGTGAAACTGATCTGAAATACACACTTCTAACTAGACAACTTATTCACAATGCCATGCAAACAGCTGCACTACACGATGGGATTAGCTGGCACCATAACAAAATGTGCGCTGTTGGAACAGGGACATGAGACACTCAGTGCCACACCTAGGTTATTTCCAGGGGCAAACTCCACTGCATTTGAGGCTATCTGCACAGACATGGATAGCCTCAGTGTTGAGGAGAAAGCTGACTTGGACCAATGGAAGGATCACATAGTCAGTTGTGGGGTCTCTCAGCAGTGTGTTAGAGTTGAGCTGTCAGATTTTGACTTAGACCCAGACTCAGACCCAGACTTGGATATCGCCGATGACATATAATTCATGATACTTATTTCACTTACTTAAGTGCCATCCAGAATAACATTTGTCTCAATTAAACCAAGACAAGTGTTTATGAACACTATCCTGAGCTACACCAAATATGGTGTGAAAGAGTAATAGCAACTAGGCTGTTAGAAACTAGCGCTACTTATCCAAATAGGCGCGAGTGTAATCTTTGACCCAAGAGGACTGCTATTGAAGCAACTCCCTGCTAATAAGCAAGGGAAGCGATAGCGCAAAGGGCTTAAAACCTATAGCGACCTAAGACCGAAAAACTAATGAATAGCACTGTAGCAATCAGCTATAAGTGAGTTCCGACAGAGAAATGTGCATATAAGTGAGAGGCGCTATGCAAGTTGTTTTATGTGATAGCGCTATGCGACGTCTGACTAGCGACAGCAAGAAGAAATCAAAGGGAGCGAGAGCAGAAAGTAAGATAAGACAGTGCAAGTGAAATGCCTGGTAGCAACTAGATTGTAGCACGACTACCGATAGCGATCCCGATGTTGCGAAAGTCAAACTTAAGAGGGATCCTTAGCGATACGCACTTAAAGCAAGTCAAGCGATACACAATCAAAGAGATTGACAAGAGTGGAATTGATTGCACCAAGACTAAGATATAGCGACTAAGGTGACTCTGACACACCAGCAAAGGTCCGGGGAAGGGAAGTAAAGTACTGTATGTGTGATGGGTCATTTTATCATACTGTGTAAAGGTTTGGAATTGCATAGGCATGATGTAGCGACAGGTAATAAGACATGCAGCACTGTGGAACACGAGGATACATGTAATAAGACCTGCGACTGATCAGTAGCGACACTTAAGGACTAATAACGCACCAGTGGAGGTAGGTGGACATAGGTGGGACATGGGAGGATGGAATATCTAGGCATTGGACCAGGTAGCGCACTATGGGAGAAAAGTGGTTCCAAAGTGGATAGCTTGGGAGTTGATAGCGCTGGTGACTAGTGCTTTACTCTTTTCCTCTAGGCAAGGCAAAATATGCCTATGACACTCATATGTGCCTAGCGCTGGTATGATTGTCACATCGGGTTTCACTGGGATATAGAGAAGCACGTTGTCTCTCTTAGCATTTCAAAAGTCAGGAAATTCCTTCTGCCCATTCATAACTGGCGGAAGCAAGAGTATCATGTACTACAAGATTTACAAGCACTGTATGGCAAGATTCTGCGTGCCTGTGAGGTGGTCAAGCGTGGCCGGGCATATCTCACGTCCCTAGAAAGCATGCTTAGTATCTGTGCTAAGAAACCCTATCTGCCACATCATCCTATTTGGGATATAGAGAGCGACCTCTTATGGTGGTCAGACCTTCTACAAAATGGTGGCGCCATTAGACCAATACATCTCCCAGTACCCTACTCTGATCCTCGCGCATTCTCAGGTGCTAGCTCCACCATCGGTATAGCTATAGTGATAGGACAACGCTGGAGAGCCTGGAGATTGATTCCAGGGTGGCAGACAAAGAATGGACAAAGAGACATCACATGGGCAGAGGCCATTGGCTTTGAGCTTCTCATTTGATACCTTACTTCTCTCCCAGAACTCGGTAATGCACTCACCGTCTTTGGAGACAACATGGGAGTGGTTTGAAGGATGTGGAAAGGGAGAAGTCACAACAAAGAAGTCAATGTTGTATTCAGAAGAATACACAAGCACTTACGGTCTCTACCAAGCATTTCGAAATCCGGACTTCCTATGTTGCTGTTAAGACCGTACTCAAGAAGTATCGGATCCAAAGGGCTTCGGCCTCAGCTCGTGCACTGTGCCCCTTTCCCGAGTCTTGCCCCTTATTTCAGAGTGCTAGAGTATCGCGTCTAGTGAGACGGATAAGTATCGTAACGGATCCGTTAAGGCTTCCGGATATCAAATGTATAGAGTAACAGCTAATCCGGATCGGATCTGAACTAGAAACTAACGGGTGAAGACTGTCTGAAGACAGAGACAGATATATAGACTATAGGAATCAATCCTAAGTCTTGGATTAGACGAGAGTATCGTACTCAAGTCTGGACGGATAACAGAGGGACTTAGCGTCCAGACAGAATGAGTGCAATCTAAGATGATATTCGAACTGATCTACTACAGCGCATGTACAAGGGTTTATATACTACAGATAACTAATGGAATGATCAATAAGCAAGGATGCGAGGCTATGTATGAAGTATAAGCAAAGTATGTGTACAGCATATCGGTAAGTCGGATGGATAACGAATCATAAC